GGTTGAGGACGCCTCAGAAATGCTCGGCCCATCGCTGCAGGATTTGCGTCTTCTCAGTCAGGAGAGTGTTGCCGTCGGCGCTGAGGAGAGGAGCAGTGCCCTTCGTCGGCGGACTGTAGACAGCTTTGATCGCAGAGAAGAAGTAAGGGAATTAACAACATGCGTGGGCAAATAGTTCCATTGGCGAATGACCCTCTGTGAGAAAAAGTAGGAGCGTTGATTTGCGTGGCACAGTTCCTTTTTATCTGGTAATCGTGTCGTCTGAGATTAGTCTTTGGTGCCGTTTCAAATAGAGTTTCCCAGTCGACATCCAAATAAAGTCATCCTAGCAACTGGTACGTTGTTACGAGGTCGCCTCTGCCCTGCCTGTAGTGGAGGGTATGGGTGTTCAAGGCCGTCAGGCACTGCTCGTACGTAACATTTTGAGTTCATGAACAGCCTATTTGGCACGTCGTTGTACGCCTTCAAGAATATCTATATTCTTCCAAAGTCACGGCCTCCAAGCCTGTACCGCATATCCCAGGTGTGGCCGCACAAATGTCCCATATACCTCGCCAGAGACATCGGCATTCAAGTTAATAAATGTCCTTTGTATTGCGCTCATGACTGACATCGCCCGCGCTGCTACTTTATAATACTGGGGTGTAGGGATGTCAGCGGTGGGTTCACGTGATGGCCGTAGTGGTCGCTCACTTGCTTGCAGGTGAGACTACGCCTGGCGTCCATTTGCTGGCACCCAACTCTCACCTGTGGCTTCACGTAGCTGGGCTCTGCTCAGCGGCCATACCTCGGGCAACCGTCTCGACCGGCGGGCTAAACCAGGTGAGGGGGCCTTGTGTGCGTTGTGCCGCGTGCACAGGGCATCGCGGAATCCGCTGGATGGATGGTCAGATGAAACACTGCGCCGGCATCGTCGAGACGAGGCTCTGCCTGGTACGCCGTTGGACAGCTGCTGCCGGGACGGGGTCTCCGCATCGCCTTCGCTGAGACGCGCCCACCCTCGCCGACGGAGACCGCGGACTCACGGCATATGCGGTCGTTCTCCACTACAAACATAAAAGTCGTGGCCCCATAGTGGGATTCGGTCGCGCCAACCAGGCACATGGGCAGCCCGATTCAGGGGCGGCACTGCCTGCCCCCACTAGGGGAAGGGTCTAGAAAAGGTGGCCTAAAAAATGCTGGGTACCACGCCGTCTACATGCTAGCCAGGGCCAGAGACGTCTCATCATGGTCGAACCAATCAAAATCGAAACAACAACAATACCAATAACAACAACAACAACAATACTCGCTCACCTCCTCATCCTACCTCTACTTCCTCTTACTCTACCTATTCTTCTCCTTCGCTGTCTTCTTCTCCACCTCCTTCCCGTCGCCCCACTTGTTGGCACCAGACTGGCAGGGTGAGCCCGCTCACTCTGGCAGCCTGGAATGTTTGTTCCCTTTTAGACAATCCGAGGAGCAACCGCCCGGAACGGAGGACGGCGCTAGTGGCCCGGGAGCTGGCGCGCTACAAGGTGGACATCGCCGCACTCAGCGAGACCCGATTCTCCGAACATGGCCAACTGGAGGAGGTGGGTGCCGGTTACACCTTCTGGAGTGGTCGGCCCAGAGCAGAGCGACGAGACGCGGGCGTCGCCTTCGCCATCCGGAACGACATCGTGGGACGACTGCCCAGTCTGCCGCAGGGCATCAACGATTGCCTGATGAGCCTCCGTCTGCCTCTCCGGCGGGGGGCAAAATTCGCCACCATCATCATCGCCTACGCTCCGCCGATGCCCAGCCCCGACGCCGCCGCAAGAGACAAATTCTATGAGGACCTGCACGCCCTCTTGGCGATTGTGTCGAAGGCGGACAAGTTGATTGTCCTTGGCGACTTCAAAGCCCGCGTCGGCACAGACCATACTGCCTGGAGAGGAGTGCTGGGTCCCCACGATCTCCGCGGCTCCAACAACAACGGCCTGCTGCTCCTCCGCACCTGCGTAGAACACCGCCTCATCCTGACGAACACGTTCTTCTGTCTGCCGGAGCGAGAGAAGGCCATCTGGAGGCATCCTCGGTCGCGTCAGTGGCACCTGTTGGACTATGTCCTCGTCCGGAGGCGAGATCATCGGGACGTGCTGGTGACGAAGGCGATCGCGGGCGCTGACGGGTGGACTGACCATCCCCTCGTCATCTCGAAGATGTGTATTCGTCTACAGCCTCGCAGGAGACCACAAGGTAAGCGACCACCAGGTAAGCTGAATACTGCCTTGTTGTCTTTGCCCGCTCACTATCTTCATTTCAGCAATGAGCTAGCTCCACGGCTAGACAACCTTCCAATCGCTGCCGCCGACGACGCCGTCGCTGCCGAGAACTACTCCGTGGAGAACCGCTGGTGTCAACTGCGGGACACGGTCCAGTCGACGGCGCTAGCCGTCCTCGGTCGCGCACGCCGCCAACAGCAGGACTGGTTTGACGACAACGACGCCGTCATCAGCAATCTGCTCACGGAGAAGAACGGCCAACACAAAGCCTATGTAGACCACCCCACTGATGCCAACAAAGCTGCTTTCTACCGCAGTCGCCGCCACCTTCAGCAACGACTGCGCGAGATGCAGGACGCCTGGACTGCTCGCAAAGCTGAGGAGATCCAGGGATACGCAGACCGCAACGAGTGGAAGAAATTCTTCTCTGCGATCAAAGCTGTCTACAGTCCGCCGACGAAGGGCACTGCTCCTCTCCTCAGCGCCGACGGCAACACTCTCCTGACTGAGAAGACGCAAATCCTGCAGCGATGGGCCGAGCATTTCTGAGGCGTCCTCAACC